GTGTGTGTGTGTGTGTGTGTGTGTGTGTGTGTGTGTGTGTGTGTGTTGGGGGGGGGGCACCTTCAACATGTTGACTGTCTGGGAGCATGAGCAGCTCAACTGAAATCAGTTTGTTTGAACAACAAGCAGAAGAAAAAGAGACACATGCAGCTCAGAGGAAGTTAATCGTTTCTCAGTGAAACTTAAAGACTGATCAATGGGTGTCTGCAGCATGCTGATGTTTGCAGATGTTTAACTGAGCAACACGAGACAGCAAGGTCACCACTAGATGGTGTCAGGGAGGCCTCGATTCAAGTCTGGTAAACTGATGTTTTGATTTGTTTCACAATAAATTTTTTAAAAAGCTGTGGAAGCAAAAATAAAAATCACACTAGACATTGGTGAAACTCTAATGCTRAGATAAATTTCCTTATAATTCGACTAATAGAAGGAATGGCATGTTTTATCTAAAGTTTGAAGAAAAATTATGAAGGACTGTTTTATTAGTTCAGTTCAGTTCAGTTCAGTACCTTTATTGTGCCCCCCCCCCCCCCAAGGAGGGAAATTTGATTTGCAGCCAAGCATTTCCAACAAATATACAACACAACATACGTATAACACATAGACTGTGTCGAAGCATACAAGCAACAATTTATAAAGGTTTAAAGAAATTTTTAAAACTATAAATTTTGAAATTTAAAAGTATAATTAAGATAAGATAAGATAAGATAAGATAAGATAAGATAAGATAAGATAAGATAAGATAAGATAAGATAAGACAAGACTTTATTGACCCCACAGTGGAGAAATTTGCACATTACTGCAGCTCAATACAGGAGAGGCTGAGAGGAATAATGAAAGATAAATAAAAGATAACAAAACAAAAAACAAAAACGACCCCACAATATACACGTGATATATAGTAATGTACATATACCAGTGCACATACAGTWTACACATATACATAAACACATATGCATGTACATTTATATACCGAATAGTACAGTAAATAAATGAATGTATATGAAGGTGCATATTAGTGATGGCAGTGTAGGTGAATTGTCCAAGTTAAAGATAACATCATGATGTGTTATACAGTCCGAATGACCTACAGAAGCACTCCGTCCTGCGGCGAGGATGTTTAAGTCTCTGACTGAAGGAGCTGCTCAGCCTCCCCACAGTTTCATGCAGAGGGTGGTGGGGGTTGTTCATGATGGCTGTCAGCTTTGCCAACATCCTCCTCTCACCCACCACTACCACAGGCTCCAGAGGACATCCCAGCACAGAGCTTGACCTCCGTATCAGTTTGTCCATCCTGTTCTTGTCCCTTTCAGTGCATCCAGCCCCCCAGCAGACCACTCCATAGAAAAAGGCAGATGCTACCACCGTATCGTAGAATGTTTTTAACAGAGTCCTGCTGACACCGAAGGATCTCAGCCTCCTCAGTAGGTGGAGTCGACTCTGGCCCTTCTTGTACAGGACGCCTGTGTTCGTAGTCCAGTCCAGCTTGTTGATGAGGTGAACACCCAGGTACTTGTAAGAGTCCACTGTCTCAATGTCTTTTCCCTGGATGTTTACCGGTGCTGTGGGGGGTGACTTCTTCCTGAGGTCTATGACCATCTCCTTCGTCTTGCTGGCATTGATTTGCAGAGCGTTGGTCTCACACCAGTCAACAAAGTCATTGATGACCCCCCCTGTATTTCTCATCATTCCCATCTGATACACATCCAATGATGGCAGTATCATCCGAGAACTTCTGAAGGTGGCAATGGTCCAAGTTGTATCTGAAGTCTGACGTGTACAGATTGAACAGAAAGGGTGAGAGGACCGTGCCCTGTGGTGCCCCCGTGCTGCAGACTACCACATCAGACACACAGTCGAGGAGCCTCACATACTATGGTCTGTTGGTGAGGTAGTCGATGGTCCATGCTGTCAGCTGCCACTCCGGCTTACTTTGTACCCAAAATTACTCTGGGTACAAAGGAGTTCTACCATCTTTAACTCTAAACCTCCGTTTTTTGCAGCCAGGGATTCCTAACTTAGGCAATGTTAAAAACATACAAACTTARAAAAGCAGCCATCTGTAAAATTATAGATGAGACTTAAAAAAAACTACAAGTTCAAAAAAAATTAAAACTACGGGTTTAAAGATCAGATTGCAGTGGGTACAAAAGAGTTCTTTCATTTGTTACTTCTAATCCTGGGGAGCCTAAACCTCTGGCCAGAGGGAAGAAGCTGGAATTCTGTGTTTAAARGGTGTTCTGAGCAGTGTAAGATAAGCCTTGCTTTTTGGACAATATGACAAATAAAAATATCATTATTATTATTATTTGGCTGTTTCATTGTGAAATAAAATGCCTCACCTGTAGGATATGATATATTTTTTTAATTGCAAGTTTAAAGAATTAATGTTACCCTGCTTCAACACAACTGATTTCAGTTGGTAACTAATTTGCAGGCTTTTGATGAACTGCAATCTCCTGAATCAGGTGTGTCAAAGCAGGGAGATCTCTAAAACAGGCAGTGTGCCTTGCAGGGTTATTAATGAAAAGGTTAATTTATTAGATATTTTGAGGACGAATTTGGGGAGTGAACATATGCAAATAGTTATTCAATTTTTAAAGAAAACTAAGCAATTTCATAGAATTAGATYATAGTAGGTGTGTTTGTGAATGTGTGTGTAACATAGAAGGATAGTACCGGTATACAAAGTTGTGCACAAGTATGTATGTATATTTACGTGTGTATGTTTAGGTAGAATTTATTTAGTTATTATTATTTTCTTTATGGTAGAATATATATTTACTGTATATACTGTAGATATAGATAAATGGATAGCTCATCACGAACCACACTCCATACCAGTAAGTGGCGGTAATGCTACTAACAGTTTGTTGCCAACCACCAGTAAAACCGACACGAAGAAGAAGAAGAAGCCCAGGGTTGAAAAACACTGCCCTAAAAAACTACTAGAGAACACAATTCGAATAGCTGCCAGAGTCAAAATGTCAGTAATATTCAGGAGATAAAACATCATAAGGAGGGCCTAAAATTGCCAAAACATGACATAACTGTAGATATTCCTCTATTTGTTTACTCTCCTRATAATTGTGTGTTGTAAAGTAAAAAATAACCAGAGTAGAAGTATTGCTTTCAGGATAAATCACATTGCATTACAAGGCGACTTTGCAATGTTTTAAGTAGAACATCATTTCGTCACGAAACATATTTCAGCAGCCTCACTCTGCACTTTTTATTATGTTTAATTCCAGCTTGATGGGGAAAAAACAAATTATAAGGATGTGATTTCATCTGTCAGCTCTGCCTGTTGAGAGGCTGTCAGCAGGAAATGTCACTGATAATGAATGGCTGTCAGAGAAAACCCCTCCTGAAAGCTTTTGTGAAAGAGTTACTTTAACTTTGCAGCTGATGACTGTCTGATTACTGTCTGCACGCAAGTATTTAACACATACTGGGACTGATTAATATGCAGTTTTACTAGTTTGTTCCAAAATGTTCTCATGTTTATTTTTCAGGAAGATTTTACTGTAAGAGACAACGTTATTAAAATTCTTTTGGTTAATAAAATCACAAGAATTAAAAACATTAACAGTTTTTGAACAGAAAAGTGAGTGGAATTTAAAAAAAAGCTATTTGTTTTTCATTTGTTCATTGTGGTTGGTTCAGAATTTTATTCTAGATTTATTTTGTTTTCCTCCATCGTTTCCTTCAATGATCCCTGTGCTCCAGCTCATTACTCACCTGTGGTTCTGCTCATCAGCCCAGCTACAATCACTCAATAATCAACCCTCCCAGCAAACATGCACTCCTTGGTTGCTGCGTCTGTTTGACAATTTTTTTATTGTTTGACTCAGTTGTGCGGGTCAAAATGTATAAGGTTTGACAACTTTAAGATATCCTCATGATTTTATTTGTTTTGCTGCCAAATCAAAGTTTTTTTTTTTAATGTTGTGTTTTCAACTTGCCTCCTATGGCTGAAATTCTTGAACTCTGAAATCCTTTGGAAGTATTGTATGCAACATACAGTTGGCAAACAAGGTATTTTCTGCATCTCATTTATTCTGCTACAAAATTACTCGCATCTCTATCATAACAGAAACAACCTGATTCTTTTTCTGACAGAAGTAAGGCTTAAATTTGATTTTGGTTTTGTTTAGTACACATTTGCTAACCTAAAATATTTTGTAAATATTTTTGAGTAATTTTTCTTTTAAGAACTGACAGAAGTCAGATTTTAATTTTGACACTAAAGGACATGCATTAAAATGAAAAAAAAATGCCATTAACTTTTGAGTACAAAATAATGGTTGCATAAACATAAAATTATTTTATTGTAAAACTCTGGTTTGACAGTGGTAATGCAAATGTATTCTTTGAATAAATACTTGACATTTTATTTGAACATATTTTTGTTATTGAACTTTTGGAAAATTAATCGATTAAGTAAGCATTACATAAAAAAGAACAGTTAAACAGATTTACACGTTTGAACTGGTGTTCAGTACTTTAATTGGACACAAGAGGGCAGCAGAGGGAAATACTGAATGTTGACATCCTTTTCCTTCTATTGTTTATAAGCAAGAAGCTCCATTTACTTTTATTCCTTCTTATCCGTTACTCAAATCTAAATGACACTTACAGCTGCCAGAGTCTATATCAGTAAATTTTGTAATAAAGCTGGAATTAATCAGAATTCACACCAGGCTGCGTAATGACTGAGAGGAGGGTGAATACCAACTTCCAGTTTAGCTCTCTAAATGAATCATCTTAAAGGTTAACCTCATATAGGATGGATTTATGATGGTGCAAACAAAAATAATTCTTAAAAAGCTTTCTATGTTGCCTTCTTTTGGTGTTTTAAAGAAATTTTAAAAATATTAAGGAGTTCCTTTTACAAGAAATGGTTGTATTTACCCTATGGTAGAGTAAAAAAGATAAACAAGGAACAATGTGAATAAAAAAGCACAATTCTTTACTTTCTGTACTTTTGGTTCTTTAAAAGTATCAACATGCCTTCTTTGGCGTAACAATACAACACTTTTCAGTTCAGCTTCCCCACCCATTCACCCCTTGACCCCACCCCTCTCACTTTCACTCCCCTCAGAAACTCCTCTCTTCCTCAGCAGAGGTTCCTCCCTCTCAGCACAGCATGAGAACAGGCACATACCAACACTTAGTTTTATAACAGTCCCACTGAAACAAACAACTAAAAACCATTAAACTTGTTGGAGGACCTACATTTCGAGAGAAATAAATTACAAGTTACTCAATATAACCTTATTGGTTTCAGACTTCCTGGACACACCCCAGCACAGCAYAGAGGCTCGTCTAGCCTGAGAATCAAACTTCATTCTGTTCAACATCACCTTTTAACTCCAGGTAAGTTATGTTAGTCTGTCATAACTTGAACTTTCTGATTTTCTATTTGTACTTAGCTGCTTGTTTCTCTTCTGGTGCATGTGGGGAAAGACACATTGGTGTTTTTTACAGATCAGGTGACGCTCACATGAACCAAAGTGATTATACTGTTACTAACTGCAAAACAGTGAGTAAACAGAAGAAACTTGCTTTAGTMTTTAACACAATGACACAACAGTCCTGTGTGGCCACGTCAAATTCAACAGTAAACTTCCTGATTTGCAGGAACTCGCTTCTTCCTCGCTGTTTAACACATTCCTACACAAGCAGTCTGTGCAGCTGCATGCCTCAACCTGCACACCCAAAGCCACCAACAAACACTTATTGACAAAACTTCTGTTTAATTTTTTCCARTCGTGGGAAAGGAAACAGAGATCCAGCTTTGGTTTGAACAGTTGTAGCTGCAAACTTTCTATGATCTTATAGCCAGGTGAACCTTTATATAGATTTTGTTTTTCTCAGCAGCCAGGCCAAGCCAAACCTGTTTTTTAATCACTTTGTCGTTTGTTGATACTTGATCCCAAACCCTAGCTCAGCTTAAAGCCATTGGCCTCTTTCTCAGCTCCATGTTGATTATCTAGCTTCAGAAGAAGTGATGTAGTGAAACCTTTGGTTGGGAAGCTTTAAAAAGCAGATTTTATTTTTTTAAATAAATGAAACACACAAACAAATTMTTTAACATAAAAAAGATCTTCAAGTTTCTAGTTTCAGTTCAGCTTTAATGTTTGTTGGGACTTCCACAGTTCAAACCTGAGTGACTCATTGTTTTATTTAGAGTTATTTCAATTTTCAGAATGTCACTGCCATCAAATCTGAGTCTAGAGCCATAAATGAGAGATCTATGATATATAAGATGCAAAGTAAAACTGTATCAACACCCCTAAGTACTATTAATGTACTATAAATGATACCATACTGTAATGAGTTCAAAAACAGGAAACTTGTTCAGGGCTGATAGGAAATGAGCACACTGTCCTGATATTTCTGCACTCCCAGCTGACCAGAGAGAAGGAACTGGTCTTCATGTAGTCTCAGCTACTTAGCTTGATATTTATCATGGCAAAGCAACCAGACGAGTGTCAGACAGTCTGGACAAATGACGCAGAGTGGGCTGACCGTCAGGAGGACGTGGTGAAAACAATCAGCAGGGAGGAGGGAGGCTTCACACATGCAGGAATGTGGGTATGGGAGAATTGATGGGAGGGTCGTGCTGGGAAACTTTCAGGAAAGAAACGGGAAGGATGCCAATGTTTTTCCACATCCCAACACTTTTTAAATCCCCTCAAAACCTGTTTTTTTTTTTCCACTCAGACTCCATTTATTTTTCCAACAAGTCATTTTTTTTTCTTTTAACACAAAAATAATCCTGTTTTTTCCATTAGTTCCTCTTGGATCTTTCACAGAAGCTCCCCAAAAAAGAGAAACATCCAGTACTTTAACCCACATGTGAATATTTTAGGTATTTTTTTTACAGCCAAAAGCATTATCTGTCTAACTGTGTGGATTCTTGTGTTTATGTCTTTGCTAAAGGATGCCTTTAGGAGGAGGAAACAAGTGTGGCCGCTGTAAGAAGACGGTTTACTTTGCAGAGGAAGTCAAGTGTGATGGACAGAGCTTCCACAAGTCCTGTTTCCTGTGCAGTGAGTTTACTGTTTCCTGACTGGAATTTTGGAAAACAACTTATCACTCCTGTTGTTTGTCACTTGCTATAGACGGATGCAGACTCTATCTATKCTTAAAACAAAGAAAAAAATCAGTAATAAACTAGGACAGAATGGCATCTTTTATTAAAGGCTAGCTTCTGAGGCTTATGTTGCAGTGAGTAGCAACATGGGAACTGTTATTTATTTCTGAGGAAATTCAAAAGAAGTTTGTTTTAAATAACTTGTCAGCATTGGCTTCTGGTTAAGGTCATTCCTATTTTTTTCTCCAAAATACTTTACTATTCAGTGACACTGAAACTTCTTCAAGAACTAATACGTTTATTTTAAACTTTTTCTAAATCATTGAGCATCATAGTAAAATGTGTTTGAGGCAGTATTGACCCATTTAGATTAGAAGAATTATGTCCAATGGCAAATAACTGGTGAAATCTGCTGGTTTGAGCAATAAATGCTCTAAACCAAAGGTGTCCAAATCTTGAAGGTCCCATCCTGTATTTTTAGAGCAGTTATTCCTAACCTATGTTTCTCAAAGCCCCCCTTTCTTACATCCAAGTTAAGCTGAGCACCCCCCCCCCACTCCCTCTTCTCCCAAAGACACATTCAATCAAAAAATAATAAAATGAATACTTTTTTGTAAAGTACTGAGTTATACATTTTTATTTAAACTGATATTTTCACAACATCTGAGTAATGAAGGTTATGCTCTGTAGCCCCACCTCCCCGGGAACCACTGTTTTACAATTGACTCTGCTCCAACTCACCTGATTTGAATGACTGGGTGATTAGCAGGTTTCTTCAGAACTAGAAGAGGTGATTTAATTACTGAATCGGGTGTGTTAGAGCAGAGAAACAAGTAACACATGCAGGACAGTGGCCCACAAGGACCAGGATTGGACACCCCTGCACTAAAGTTTGATTTCACTTCTGACTTTGTGCTTTCAAAATATAATTTTAGCACAAGGCCTCCCTGCCCAAATATCTGTGCGCACGAGCAGCAAAATGACAGAAACAGCCAAGTGTCCTAAWATAAAATCATGGCTTGCTTCATCCAGTGTATCTTTGTGAATGTTCAGAATTTTTCCTCCCCAAAGAGGAGTTCCTGTTTTCTTATCAAACATTCCTGAGATCACATTTAGATGGGAGCATGTATCTTCAAAAAAAAAAAAAAAAAAAAGCTGGGCCTTTAAAAGGAAGCAGATAGGACTTATCTAAATGTTCAGAAAAATGCAAAACAGAATAAGCATCTGTGTCGATGTGTTTTGCAGTGGTGTGCAGGAAAGGCTTAGACAGCTCAAATGTCGCTGTTCGTGGGGACGAAGTCTACTGCAAGGCGTGCTACGGCAAGAAGTACGGGCCAAAAGGCTACGGTTACGGTCAGGGAGCTGGGACCCTCAGCATGGACAAAGGCGAGGCCCTGGGTATCGCACACCAAACGTGAGTATCACATTACTCCATTCTTGATGCCATTTTAAAGGCTCTTATTTATCACGTCGAACCTCACCTCATCAGGCCCGGCCCCCATCAGCCCACCACCAACACAAACCCGTTGGCTCAGAAGTTTGGAGGCTCCGACAGGTGYCCCCGCTGCGGCAAGGCCGTGTACGCCGCTGAGAAAGTGATCGGYGCCGGCAGCGTAAGAAAACCTCACCGTGCTGTGGGCTTACACTTGTGCATGCAGGAAACAGTTTTAAAATAAAACGTTTGTCTCTTCACAGTCCTGGCATAAAGTRGGATGTTTTACCTGCGCCACGTGTGGGAAAAGTCTGGAGTCGACCACATTGGCTGATAAGGATGGAGAGATCTACTGTAAAGGTATTAATGACATAAGTGATCAGATTTAGTTGTTGAGGGAGACCTTGAACCTTTTTGTGTTGTGTAAAAATTCATCAGTACGTTTAAAAAGCTACACTAGGATTAATACCAGTCAGTAATAGGAGGTTTTATAACACTACCTTTTCTATCCAACAGCCTGTTACGGGAAAAACTTTGGTCCCAAAGGGTTTGGATATGGACTGGGAGCCGGAGCGCTGGCACACACCCAGTGAAGTCCAAACTGTCCTGATTCCTGAGCTGCTCCTTGTCTCCAGCAGAGGGAGGCCTGCTACAGTTCAGCTGACAGAAATATTCTTCACCCAGAGCTGTGTTTGTGAACTGTGCAGCCCGCAGCAGAACAACACAAATCATCACTAAATATTGTACAACCCAATTTATCCTCTTGGTTCTCTTTCTTGGCCTGAATGAAGCCAAACGGGCGGACAAGTTTAGTTGTAAAAAAGATTAGCTGCTCGTTTTGCAGAGGAACATAAAGTGGAAGTTGAAGCAGCACYAGCGCACCCTGTAGGCGGGCTGCAGTATAAGTTTAAGTCCAAAAAAAAGGGACAATTATTTGAATAATACTATTAAAAAAATACGGACTCCTGATGATTTATGTAATTCTTACCACCAAGTTGTATTTTCAAATATAAATTTTTCTTAATATGTTTAATTGTAATTTATAGCTAAAACCCCTGTGARGTGGAGTAACATGTTTTGGGGTCAATCAAATGTATCATAGCTAACCAACAATTAAAAATCTAACATATGATAATGCACCGTCACTTAGCCTTATTTTGTTTGTTTGTTTATTTGTTTGTTTGTTTGTTTGTTTGTTTGTTTGTTCCTGCCCCTAATCATGTACCGACTGATGCAGTCAAACTGATGTCTATAGGTGTATTGTCCTGTGATATAGTGCAGTAATCATGAACAAATAAACCAAATAAATAAATAAAAGGGAAAATTAGCAAAAATAAATAAATAGCTCTAACTTTTTCACATAAAGCAGATGCAGGATACATTTTGTATATATATTTTTTCACATTTAGTCAAGAAAAGTTTGGATTAGACCATCAGTGTTTATTAATAGCTGTTTATGAGTTATCTATTTTTAGCTGTACTGGTAATTTGCATACTTTAAGTTAAACACTGAAACTATGGTGAGGTAATTATTGTTCTGTTAGAAATTTTAGTCTTCGACTACATAGATGTATTCCTTGTTTATCAGATTCATTCAAGACCTGATAATAAAGAAAATGGTTAGAAAATGTTTTATGAGTAAAGTTTTTTTTTTTCCCCACATGAAAAGTCAAATCTGTGTACGGGAAAGTCTAAAAACCCTAATGGATCTTGGTTTTGGTTTCAATCGACACATTCTTATCATTTCTTTAATGACATACCACAGACACACCTCTCACTGCAGAGATCATGTCAAGCTTCCAGTTAAATGAGGGGAAATGACTTCCAGGTCACACCACCCATCTGTCAGAAAGGGAAGGGTGAAAAACAAATCAGATTATCTGAGGATGAGGAGAAAAACTAWAATAAATGGGATCACTAGCAACAAATTCTACTTACACAAGCATATAAAGTTGTTTTTCTTTTCCTTACATTCAATCTYTTTGTGGAAATACTTGTCTATAGGAAGTCCAAAAACTGACTCCATGACTCAGCCTTTATTCTGTTCTCCCTCCTCCCCCCATTCTTTATTTCTTAGACATGTCAACATCTTCAAACCTCAGACTTCCACCTTTTCAAGAGGATGAAGCAACATCCTGTAACTTTTTATCTATTTATTTTATGTTGAATTTCATTTCATTCTTGTTCTCCCTGATCCAGAGCAGCATGTGCAAACAAGGCTAATTATTTGTTTAATTTGTTTGTCGTGCACGCGCTCACACAAACTTATTTACACATAAGGCATGTACAACCTGTGTCTTTCATAAACAGACTGTATCTCCTCCTGCAGTCATTACAGAGAGGAGGCGGAGTGCTACTTATAAAGGAGGAGGGAGGGAGAGAAGGTCCRCAGAAGAGCCGGGCATGTCCAAACACATCTCGAGCAGACCAGCCACACGCACCACTGCGAGCTGTCATCGCGCTCTGTCTCAGCAGCACATGGAGTGAGAGGTGCTCCACAGAAAGATCTGAATGGCTTCACCCAAAAAAAACGCGCCTCTCTGCTGAAGAAGACGCGCGTAAAAAGACCCGGTCTCTGCGTGGACATGTCTTTCCCGGTGAAGGTGCTGAAAGACGGGCTGCTGGAGAAGCGCAGCAGCGGACTCCTCCAGCTGTGGAAGAAGAAGCGCTGCGTGCTGACGGAGGAGGAGGGACTGCGCCTTCACGACTGCAAAGGAGGGGATGCTCCGAGCCCGGCGTGGAGCTCCAAAGCCAAGGAGCTCCTCTTCGAGCGCATGAGCAAGGTGGACTGCGTAGAGTACAAGCGCGGGGTCGAGTACTTCACCGTGGTGATGGCGAGCGGGCAGGAGATCGACTTCCGGTGTCCGCAGGACCGCAGCGGCGGGTCGTGGAACACGGACATCTCCATGGCTCTGATGCGCTTCAAGAACAAACAAGCCATGCAGGCGAGCCGGAAGAGGCACCTGCACACGGCACACCTGGGCAGCACCGGGGAGGATGAGGAGCTCTAAAACTCCACAGTAAGTCTGGCTGAGTTCAACTAACCTGAAGTGAGTTTGTGACAGACTGGGCCACCCTTCAGATTCACTTTCCTGTCAGTACCACGTCAGTGAGACAGTGAATCAGCTGAGCACCTCCAGGGCGTAGATGCAAATATCTTACATTGTTTTTATTTCTCCMTCGAGATCATCCACGACCAAAGAGTCGCCAAACACATCAGCTTCGACCCTCCTGTTGTGTTTTTCCTTCCCAACTATGTTCCCGGACCATCTCAACAAGCCCACCTCTGAATCCATGATAATCCATATATAATTACCATGTGCTATGKCAGATTCTTTCATTTAATTTCTTGTGAATTGTATAAATTTGTACTTTAGGCTTCACTRATCTGAGCTCACGTGACTTGCTTTTGAGTTGGTCAAACATGTTCTTCTGTTTACCCCAAATGTGCAAAAGTTTATCAAAGTCATTTGTGAATCATTTCWCATTTATAAAAGTGGCCCAGAAGAACAGTTTTTTTTTTATTGGTCAAAAATGCCAAAAATTGGTCATGGGCCCAAAATTGTCCACGAGGCCTCGATAAAATTTAGATACCAGAACTGTGAGAAAGAAAAAGTCTATATGATCGAAACAATGCGGAGACTTTGTGAGAATGCCAACAGGTGTGGTTCACCTGAGGAGATGATTAGGTTATGGTAATTATCTGTTGTGGAAATATTCATGTATGGAAACGATTTGTTTGAGAATGATTTGTTCGTGAATCATCTCAGTTCGGGAACTACTTTGTTGGGAAAATGTTGAAGCAAGATTCTGCGGGGGAGAGACCCTGTTTGGCAATGGTTTAGGGAAGGATTGGCATTGGGTGAGATTKTGTTAGGAACAGAAATCAGGGGGAAATTCCTGTTTGAGAAATGTTCTATTGGGGAAATATTTTCTATAGGGGAGAGGTTTTGTTCGATAAAGACTTTTTTGTGGGGTTTCACACAAAAGACAAAAAAAGAGGTGAAAGGTGTGTTTGTCAACTCGAAAACAAAACCATCAAGAGAGTGGGAAAGGAATAATGTCCATCCATGTGCTGAAGTTGGTTTTATACTCCTGTTTCACTTTCATTCCTAATGATTGGTCATTTTTTACCAGGAGCAGGTGAACAAAACTGAATAAAACACAATAACAAATAGTATTCCCTCGTGTCAATGAAAGACACCAATTTTCCCAGAAACCAAACCTAAAAAGGTCAAATTAGCCAAGAACACATGGTGAGTCTTCTTTGTGCCAATCATTAGAACAAACCAGGAGGCGAAACATTTAAGCGTTTGGGAATCAGGTGGTCCGTGTGTGACGGCCGCTTCAACTAAGCCCCGACTAAAGGTTGTTTACGAGCTCCAGTCAAGTGTTTCGATGTTCCAACCGAGTCACCAGAATCTGCCACTGTTTTCTCATGGTGGACCTCGTCTACCATCAGTCCTCTTACAACACAAACCGCTCTCCCCAGAGGACATAATTACGATGCAACACACAAGCTTTCAAAAATAAATACCATCTGCCTGCCTCTCCCTCAGCAGGCAGGGGAGTATTTTTAAACACGCTAACGTAAACTTCTGCCAGGAACAAGATCTTTACGCTCCACGTCTTAAGTATTTTTAAAAATTATTATCATTCTTTAAAGTTTAAACATCTCATACTGCGTTGTGCACCGAAACTGGTTCCTGAAACCTCGAGTGAACCGAGTGGTGTAAGTCTGAACTATGAGCTCAGACATCAGGAATCCACAACGATGCTTCCTTAAGAGACCCGCAGAAGCCAAGAGTCCAAACAAACTCAGTAGCTGTGGAAACGGTGTAAAACAGATTACTGGACTTTGTCTTTACGCTGTGCACATCAGTTAACMGATAAATGAAATAACTGTTCTTTTCTCCTTTTTTTCCAGCTTTTTTTCCCCATGAGTGTGAGCCAGTGTGAGGTAAAGGGGCTTGTTTCTGTGCTGCTCAGCGTCACGGTATAGGAAAGACAACCCACTGGTGAATATGGATCRAAGGAGAACAATGATTACAGGCACTCCTGTTATACATATCATATGAAGATTAGGAATCTAAAAGAAACTGCTGCATTTTTTCTGTCATCGCCCGACATCATTGTGGAGACTCCAGCGAGGAACACAAATACCTTTTAATGAGAAACCGTTGATCGTGAAAACACTTAATCTTCCGTGCCTTGTTTCGAACCTACCCCCTACTTATGAAACGATTTGGAAAAAAAAGGTCACGCTTTTGATGAAATGACTTGTTTTGAAAGCTTTTGTTACAGACTGAACAGATCTGAAGTCGCAAATGAAGAATAGGAGTTTTTGTCCAAAACTGTTGCGATTTAAAATAAAATGTATTTTCTGAAACCACGTACAGTATTACTATTGTAAAAGAATTAAAAGGTTTAAAAGAGCATCTCTCTGTATTGTCTACTTTGAATTATGGCTTGTTGTTGTTTTTCCCAGTTCATACTGTTCTCTTCTGAGCTCATCTGTTTCCATTTGGGGTTCAACCCTGCTGTTATCGCCTCTGGAAAACACACACACACACACACACACACACACTCTCTCTCTCTCCTTGGGTATTTGCGTGTCTTGCCAGAGTCAGGACACCTTTTTGTTTCTGTAGCTGTGTTCAGGCCTAATGAGAAACCCTGTGAGCCTGAGGCATGTGCACACAAAACATCCACCCACACATATTCACCGACAAGAAGCACGCCCAACATGAAATTCAGCAAAGCATCARCAGACTCTTGTTAGCAAGATGTATTGTTCATTTAAGCCTGTTTTGTGAATGTGGTCCRTGTATGTGTGTGTGTTTGTTTGTGAAGAGTATTTCTGTGTGTGTGAGTGTGTGTGTGTGTGTGTGCGCGCGCACGCGCTCCTCCGGAATAAAGAGTTAGCTGTGTTACAACTTCTCTCATTACTGTGGAAAAACCCCAGTGTAAGCCACACCGCGTGAGTCAGCAGTGGACGAGGAGCAGTGAGAAGATCAAGGAGACGCCCACTGATGGGTCTTTGTACCATCCTGTGCGTGTGTGTGTTTGTGTGTGTGTCTGCGAATACAGGTGGAAATACTCGCGGATATATGTGAAGGAACATTCTGAAGGTGAAATTTGTTTTTGATTTTTTTGTTTTTCTCTGAGTGAACTCGCGCTCCTCAGTGGAATTCTTTATTTAAATCTCATCAAAGTTATTCAGGGCTTCTGGTTTTCACCACAGGGAAAAACAAAACAGAACAAACACACATAGAGATGTGTGTTTGTAAAGCTGTGGTTGAAAAAACATTTGACAGAGTAGAGAGAAAATAGATTATAATTCAAGTAATTTCTTTACTGATTATTTAATACATTTTGAAAAGGCTTTTGAGCAGTATTTTTGGACCACCAGCTGCTGCTTTTATGTTAAACTGTCTGTTTCTGCCAAATCACATGAAAAACTTCTTTTTCTAGGGAGCTATTGGGGCATCCTGAATGGGATCAAAGGGTAATTGAAGGATAATTTTAACTAAAACATCATCTCATCTATCATACAAAACTTTGCATCATCTGCAAAAGTGCACAAAAAAGATTACTTTCTTTTACGTCATCATAAAGCTATTTGTTGCATATTTGTTTATTGTTGTATGCTTTATGATATTTTATCAGGCAGAACTGTAGAAAGTCCCTTTAAGGACTTTTATTTAAAAGACATGCACCGTTACTATTTAAAAAATCTCTCTTAATAGTGGTGGGCACAGTTCCTCTAAAGCACCAACAGGGGAAAMCGTTTCCTGATTAGTGCTTTAGGGCTTTTGCTAATTAAAAAATATTAGTGGATTAGCACTTGCTAAATTTATAGGCTAAATTTAGAAGCACGAACTTAGGTTTTTAAATGTTATTAATCAATGTTAATGCTAACAACTGAAGGTGAAAGCTGCCACTCATTTTGATCATGTGTCACTTATCCACTATGTGACAAATTGACAATATATGAACTCAAACAAGGCTGTGGAATATCAATAATAAGGTTTAAGAGAGCAATATGTGACTTATGCTGTCTGTTGAAGAATGTTCATGGGTTGACTGGGTTATTTTAGTGCTTTAGAATTAGCCTTTGCTAAATTTTCAGTATGTTGGTGCTTTAGAGTTAGAGGCTAATTAGTGACCTAAATATTTAAGTTAGTGCTTTGGAGCTAGTGGAACTCATTTTTAGATTAGTGCTGCTCACCACTGCTTAATACATTAAAATTTGGAGTGCGAAACAGAAAATTGCCTTGTTTGGATTCAAAATAAAACATCAAAATGAGCTGTTTTGAGACACCTCAGAAAATGTGTAAAATAGGAACTTCTGGATTTACGTTGAGGAATTCAGACCAAAGCACTGCAGCTCCATTTAACTCCAACTGAATGATTTAAATGTGGTTAAAAAAGGATTCAAAAGCAAATGTGTACTTTAACTGTCCTTAAGAGTTGTAAGTAAAATCTTGGTTTTCATTCTGCTCTTTTATTA